CATTTGGTTTCTGGTATCGCACCATCAGTCTCAGTGTCACAGCCCTTGTGCAGCCAACGTACGGATGATAGTTACGACAGCGAAGCCACAAGATGCTATCTGCGCGACTGTCAGTCCCATAACTACAGGAGGGACCCGAATTGCTCACCCAAGTCACAACTAGTATCCAGTCATCTAGCGATGATAGATGCGTTAGCTATGTGTCGAGGAAAAGCTGGGTGCCACGTTACTTACCGGCTCCAATGGCTTTGGTTATGCATCCGCGCACATAGAAACGAAGGGTCAGAACCAACAGTGACACTGCTGTGAAAACGATTGCGATTGCGGTGATTTGCGGCCCCTCGTTGGCGACATCATCGGGAGTGTTGTAGGTCCAGCCCATCGTACTGGCTTGCTCACGGCGGTTTCGTTCAGAATAGGGATTGAATAGTACTTTGCACAGGTTAAAAACCGAACAGGCCTGAAGCCTACGTTGGGACGGCAATGCGCAAACAAGAGGACGTAGCGTCAATGTAGGTCTCAGGGTGTTTAGTTCTCCCTTGGTTGAGGTGATAGACTTTTCGCCTTTGGGAGAGAACAGGTCAGAATACTAGCCATTGCGATTCAGCGTCTACACAGTTCCGACCGTTCCCTGCGTATTGACAGTCCAAGAGGACGAAACCGCGTAGGATTCAGCGCGGCCCTTACCCGGTCTATCATAACCCCGTCAGGAAAGCATGCCTTGATCGATAGCAGAGGAGACTCTCATACGAGGTGAAACCTGTAAATATTCCCAGTATTGTCCGAAGTTATAGTAGCCTAACAGCTAACGCACATGGTTGCAATGCAGCCCAAGTGTTGGCCGACAGAAAAGACCTTCTTCTTAGAGCTAGACCAAATAATACCAAGGTATATTGGTAACGGTAACGGGAAACGGCTTCGGCACTGCTCGGTGAGATATCTCCTAATTTTAAGGGTCTAGAAAGACGATATGGGACGATTGCATCTCGCCTGGAGAGCCGCCGACCCGCCCTCGCGGTGGACGTGCTCGGCTGCATCGGAGGTTTCTCAATGCAGCAAAGCCGTGCGCGATCCCTGTTGATAGATGCCGAAGGTCCAGTACAAGCCCCAGCTTCCAATTGATGGCAAAGTCGCCGTCCCGCACCAGCACCGCGACTCCGACGACACGACAGCTATCCATCAATCGCTTGTTCATGATGAGGCGCGCTCTCCTTCAACAACCTGGGGTCCTCTGCATATCACTGTCAGAGGTCTTTTTCGCGTAGACTCAGATCCAAGGCAATCGGCGCCACGGCCACAAAACGGGGTCGCGGTATCACCCCGGGACGGTCCACCCCACCGGACACTAGATTTGTAGTCCCACAACTGCTCTAGCTTGCTCGCCACTGTCAAGCGCGGCGCATGCAGGGAGCCTGAATTTCTGTTTATATTAATCCGTATGTCTGGGACATTGACATTTTCCAGGTCGCAGAACTTTATCTTTTTCTATGCCCTGGAAATGCGTTCCTACATCCCAGTCCTCGCGCTTCTTGGCGTCGTTTCTGCTAACCCAACCCCCAATCAATGCAAATCGTTCCCAGGAGACAAGTCATGGCCTTCGCAAGCAGAGTGGAACAGCTTGAACAAGACAGTAGGCGGACGTCTAGTGGCAACCGTACCACTCGGAGCCCCCTGCCACGTTCCGACTTTTGACGACGCGACTTGTGAAAGTCTGAAGAAGGATTGGCAGTTTGAGAAGATCCAGTATGTTCCACACATGTGCTCTGAAGACGTCACTCTAACGTTTAGTCAGTTATGAATCGTCTTCATCTGTAATGGCACCTTTCTTTGCCAACCAGAGCTGCGATCCCTTCCAGCCTCGAGACCGCCCATGTGAGCTTGGAAACTACGTCCGTTACGCTGTGGATGCGTCAGGACCTGCAGATGTCCAGCGCGCGATCGCGTTTGCTGCGTCCAAGAACATTCGTCTCGTTATCCGCAACACGGGCCATGATTATCTCGGTCGTTCCACAGGCGCGGGCTCACTAGCGGTGTGGACACACCATCTCAAGGAAATTACCCATGTTCCGACGTTCGAAGGTTCAGAATACAATGGCCCGGCTTTTAAGATTGGTGCCGGCGTTCAAGGTTTCGAACTAATGGCTGCTTCCCGAGACAAGGGCTTGGTCGTGGTTGGAGGCGAGTGCCCTACTGTTGGCATCGCTGGCGGTTACACTCAGGGTGGTGGGCATTCCGCTATCAGTACTAGCTTCGGCCTCGCTGCCGACAACGTACTGAATTGGGAAGTCGTAACAGCAAGCGGAAAGCTTGTGAATGCGAATACAAAAGAAAACGCGGATCTGTACTGGGCTCTTAACGGCGGCGGTGGCAGCACCTACGGCGTTGTGGTTGGGATGACTGTCAAAGCGCACAAGGAAGCTGTTTTTGGCGGCGCTTCACTGTCGTTCTTCACCACGGACAACGACCAGGACGTGTTCTATGACGCTATCCAAGCGTTCCACGAGGAGCTACCTGCTATGGTAGATGCCGGAGCAATGGTGGTCCATTACTTCACGTCTTCGTTTTTCATGATCTCCCCGCTTAACGCCTACAACAAGACGGAAGCCGAAGTCAAGGCCATGCTTGCGCCTTTCGTCGCTAGGCTGGACTCGAAAGGCGTCAAGTACACCGCTGAATACAGCGAATTCGACACGTACTATGAGCACTACGACAAGTACTTCGGCCCCCTTCCTCTCGGCAACATCCAGGTCGGCATCGCCCAGTACGGTACTCGCTTGATCCCACGAAGTGTTGTGGGCAACATCTCCGAAACCTGGAAGGCTGTCGTAGAGAAGGGAGTGACCTGGATCGGAGTCGGAACAGATGTGAAGGCGTTTGGTTCGGAGAAAACAACGTCGGTCCACCCGGCCTGGCGCAAGGCAATCGTGCACGCGACCTTGACACTTCCATGGAACTTCACAGCTCCGTGGTCGGAGGCGTTCGCAACTCAAGACAAGATGACGAACGAGATCATTCCTCTTGTTGAGGCTGCAACACCTGGTAGTGGATCGTACGTGAACGAGGCCGATTTCCGTCAACCGAATTTCCAGGATACGTTCTGGGGCCAGAACTACGCCAGATTGTTGACGATCAAGAAGAAATGGGATCCTTCAAGTCTATTCTACGCCACTGTCGGCGTTGGCAGCGAAGCCTGGACTGTTCGGACTGATGGTCGCATGTGCCGCGCCTAGTAGCTAGTTCCTGTTCTGTGTCAATATGAAAAACTCCGTACAAGTCGCGCTGTCCATCTGGAACCTTTGACTGATGAATAGGTCATCATCGACCTCGCGTGTGGAACTGACATCGTCGGCACAAGCAATCCCCCTTGCATCACGATGGATCGAAGAAATTAATAGTCTTTATGATAGAAGTCATCTCCACAACGCTGGTAGCACGCGTGTGCAGTTGAAAACATGGAAAGGTCGTAGCGCGTCCTGAACGCGTGCAATTCAGGTTCTCGAGTGGGGAAGCTAGCGTCAATGACGTACACCAGGGGATACCCTGCAGCCGCCACAACTCTGAGAAAACCAACTAACAATCATGCCTCCGAAAAAGTTGAACAAAGATGGGGGCAAGAAAGATGAAGAGAACAAAGAGTCTAACAAGCCCGCCGTTTCCGAAGAAGAGGTGCGGCAAGAATCTGGGAAAGCCGCCAATGCTGCCCTCGCTGCGCAAAAGAAAGCCAAAGAATTGAAGGATGCAGCAGCTGCGGCCAGCGATCCAGATGAACGGGAAAGGCTGACAGAAGAAGCTACAAATGCACACATCGAGGCTGAGTCATTTGGAAAGACCGCAAAATATCTTCGTTCGGGCGCTTTTCAGGGCATGGCAATGGGCACAGGCCTTGGTGTTGCGCCTGGCGCCACTTTAGGCGCAATTACCGGGACTTTGGTTGGCGGCATCTCTTCAACTCTGCTTGGTGGGATAGGTGCTGGAGTAGGTGGAGCGACAGGTGCGCTTCACGGCCCATGGGTAAACATGGGCAAAGTAGCAGGGAAGGGAATGAAGAAGCTCACTAGTTTCCTCCCACAATGGGCAGCGAGCGAAGAGCAGAAGAAGACGCTGGAAAAGATGATGGGACAAGCTAACGAAGAAGAGATGCCCGGGACTGAAGAGCTTGAGAAGTTCAAGAGTGAGGGAGGTGGAGGTCAGATTGACGAGGGTTGGATGGAGAGTGCGAAGGGCATGATGCCAGATCAGAAAGAGGTGTCAGACGCTGCGAAGGCTGGTGCGCAAGCTACGGGCGGAGATTCGGACTCGAAGCCCAGTGCGAATCAGTCTGAAGAGCCACCAAGCGGAGATTCAGCACAAAAGAGCGACACTCAAGGTCGCAAGAAGCCACGGAAGCTGAATGCGAAGCAAGATGATAGCGAACCACAATCAGTCGAGACAGACAGCATGCGTAATGATGCTGGTGGAGCATCTAACGCAAGCGAGAAAACCGATACACAAAACGCGGATAACCAGAATGACCGGGAAAAGAAACTCGACCAACGAGAGAGTGATCTTAATCGACGACAGGCAGAGCTAGACGAAAGAGAAAAGGCCCTAGCTCAGCGTGAGAAAGAACTGGATTCGAAGCCTGACGGTGATGCCACGGAGTCTACTTCAGCGCCGAAACCCAAAGGTCAACCGCGCAAGCTCGCAAGTAGATCGTAGATCTTTAGGGTACGCTAGACAAAGGTCCGAGCTATAAGTTACCCTATCGACCGTATGGCATTCTGGAATTTGATTGGTCGCTGCTGTAACTGGGTTGCTAGGGTCATAGTGATGTTAGCAAGTTGACGATTAGTCGGCACGGGTGGCTTCAACCACGGGCGTCAGTATGCGAGAACCAGAGTCTTTCGATTACTCACAGCTATAATATTTGCATCAAACCTTTCTTGCATCTTTTGCATTCGAACACCTCTCATTTTTGCTTCCAAACACCCTCAAGCTTTTTCGAGCTATATACAACAACAATGTCGCGCCTGCCCTCTCCCGGTCCCGATACCTTCAGGTTTCTCGACCTTCCAGCCGAACTCCGGCTGATGGTATACGAGCACATCCCGAACGAAGTCTTCCGCCACGAATTCCCAGAGATCGGTGCTACAAAAAAGCCCGGCTTGTCTCTTCAGATCGCTCAAGTGGGAATCGCCCTCCTTAGTACATGTCGGCAAATACACATGGAGGTCATCGAGATCATAAAGAGAAAACAAGCACTCGCAGCCTCAATACCGATTCGCATTGCGCTGACAAGATGGGACGAGCGCAGTGTCATGATCTTATACATCTTTTACCGGATAATATACGCCGCACGCAGTATTTTGATCGGATCAACGTTGATTTATGCGAAACTCAGCTTACCTGGTAGCGAACCTCTCTTGTCTGCCTTCAAAAGACTGATACGAGGACTTCCGAATATCGAGCTTGTTCTTGATTTCCCGGATATGGACTTTTATGCCGCAGACATGCTGTCAGAAATAGCACGTTACGGTTGTTTCGATTTCCACACTACCGTCCGTGTACCGCCTGGTTCGATTTCAATGACAGAGTTCGATCTTTTCCAAGGCATCCGAGGCATGGTTATCATATGGGATGAATGAGAAGACTGACTCGTGGATTGGAGGTATCGTGAAAGAGTACTAGTTGCACAGTTGGAGTAATGGGTCGGAGAAGTTGCAATTGATTTGGAGATTGCTAGTCGACCTGTAGGCCGTTTTATACTCCACAGCTCATCGCATTCGCCTCGTTGCCTCGTGACAAGAGCTTGTCTCTTAGTATTCGGCCTCATGCCTTCCTGATCCCAGTCGGTGAACGATCGCGACTGCACCGTGCGAGCATCGCTGCTACCTTCTCACCTTTTGGCAACCACGATGACACCTCGACCCCCGTCTCCACTCCTACTTTGCGGAAGCTGCATGCTGCCATGATTGTTTATAAGATATCGCGCGCTCACTACTTCTACTCTTACTACGCCACCCCATTCTTCCGGCGCCGCAGCTCTTACGGTCAAACATCCGATAGCAGGCAGCATCCGATCACTCACCTCAAGACTGCTATTCTCGCATCGCAATCATGTTCTTAATGTCTGCTCTTCTCCTATTACTTCTAAATACCTTACTCTTCGCCAAAACCATACCTCGAGCCGACAACGTCGAGATCCACACGAAGCCTAATATATGCCTTCCGCACGACGGCTTCGGCAGCAGAGTGATCGCTTTCAGCGACTCGCATGAGAACAATATGTTCGACTACGCCGTCGTCACTAAATACACTACCTATTACCCCGACATCGTTAAAAACGCCTTGGCAGTCAAGGGCTTCCAACTTTTCGACCTGGGGAACGATCAACTATGCGGTTGGACAAAAGCTGCAGCCGTGTATAGCACACTAGGACTGGACTTCCACAGCCACCGCGGCGACATCTACTGGAAACACAACGACGCTCACTCGGTTGGCGGCTCAAGGGATTCTGTCGGCCCTACGAAAAGGTCTGCTAACAAAGCAGCCCGCCTCCCGTCTTCAATTGAGCATAGTGTTGTAGCCATCAGTAATATACTCATCGCCAACCCACCCGCCGGCGACGTCTACATGTTCAGCACCATCATCCTCGCATGGACTACGAGCCTCTTCGGCTACATCCTCCTCATGCTGTTGGTCATGGCCTGCATCAGAAAAGCCGATCGAACCACGAACACGTCAAAGGATAACGAGGCTAACGAGGGCATTGAGCTCGAATCCATCAAAGCACCTGATACAGATAGCCTGGCGAGGACCGACTCTGCAGCGGCGGGACCATTTGAGGACGTCAAATGGGAATACCCCAGCCCTCAGCGTTCTTCCGATACGAAGCGGCCCGAACCGCTTCCCATGTACTCGCTTTGGGGATCTAGTCATGCGGTGGCTTGATGCAAGGCTGCGCTGAGGCTCATGGTGAGGACGCGGTTGATTCGCCTTGTGGTTTTTGGTTTCTCATACCCGGCTTCTTGTGTCATCGCGTTTGCTGTACCTTGGATTCACTTTTTATTCTCATGGCGCCAGGTAGATACCTGTTCCATTGTGTCTGAGCATCCTGAACGCTTTGGTCATTGTCAAGCGCACGTCGGCTCCGCCTCTTCTCTCGATCCCATCCTCCTCTACCGTCTATAGCATGTGCTTTTGCTTTTTACATAGCCCCCAATGCAAGCCACATCACTTGAAACCCGTCCATTAGTCACTGCTGTGCAGAGAAATCGGAAAACAGTATGCATGCCGCCCGGTCATAGCATTGCCCCGCTGTCGTGAATCCGGGTGTCCAACTCATCCAGCCTTTTACTTTACGCCTGACTTTAACTGCGGTCGAGTTGAAGTGATACAGTGCATACCCAACCCAAGCTCAAACACATGTGGCGGGGCTTGGATCGATCTAATTTCCGCCTATGCAGTCATTGTTACACGGAAAAACATTGGGGGCTAGTGGCGTTGCCGGACGTCGAGAACGGACCGGTGAGCAACGCGTTACCCGGTAAGGCGGCCAAGCAAGTCGTGGAAGTTCTGTTGTACGTCACCAAGAGAGCGGAAATAAGCACAGCGTTACGGTACACCAACTACTGACGGTTCCATGAAGTCGGTAAGGCTGTTCGCCGATGTCAAGTCGCTGGCATGGAATGTAGATGATGCAATTAGTATGTTGGACGAGAAGACGTAACGTCATGTGAAATATGCTACAAGAAAGGCAATGACGATAAACTACGATCGCTGACAACAAGTGAAAAGGCACATGAGCAAGAGATTGATGCCTTCCCTCTGTGTACTCAACTATATACTGCTCTGATGAAGATCCTCAGAGTTACATCTCGTACCTCGCCGGCGCTGCCCCATCGGTCGGCGGTTTATGTGCGTGCTGTGGATCCAACTCCACTAAGCTCTCCGGTGGTGCTTCGTTCAGAGGAGGGCCGTAGTGACCAGAGTTGTTGTTGAATGGATGAGGATTAGGCCCGGTCTTGTACTGTTCAGCGATCTGCGTGTCAGGCATCGGTGACGGGGTAACGTCTTTCTTTCTGTGACGACGGAATAGGAGGAAACCAACGACGAGGCCGATTATGAGTGCGACAGGTATCCCGACGCCGATGCCGATTTTGGCTGATGTGGGAAAGCTGTTCTCAAGCGGTGCTACGCTGGATATCGGTACGGGTGCGGGTGTGGATGGTGGTGTTGTCGTTGGTGTGCTAGTAGGTATCGAGTTCGCAGTGGCGGAGGATGTGGAGCTCGCGGTAGACGCTGAGCCCAGTGAGCTGGAAGGCAAAAGCGACAGGGACGATTTTGTTGTCGATTCGGTTTTGTCTTCAAGGTAGAAATACCGGCTGAAGTCTTCTGGTTCTGTTGCGCCCTCTTGGTAGAGCGCCAATTGGAACAGGTTGGACAATTTGAGATTAATCTCAGGTCTAATAATCCATTCTTGGTTCGTTCTGTTTACTACACTCTCTGTTATATATCGTTAGCCAGTGGTCTTCTAGGTTTTGACAGTGCTTGCTATACGTATGATGTATTCTATGTTCTTAATCGATACGCCGGTCTTCGGATCTGCTTGCCACAGTATTATAGAGACTGCAGTACCGACCGGTGCCTCCGTCCAATACACCGTAATCTTCTCGCCTATAGTGTAGTTGAGTGCATTGCTCATGTCCAGTGCGACATCAAGCGATGGCGGGAGGATGAATTCCATGGGCGCTGGGACATGGACAAAGGTCCAACTATAGTAGCCCAAGATCCGACTAGAGCACGACCAAAAGAAGAACACGTCTGCTGGAAGATGAAAAGACGGTAGAAAGAACTTCGGGTCTGAAAACGTCTGTAAGCTTCAAGCGAGTGAAGAACAGGCTACCCAGAACGAGGTAAGCACCTAAGGTTGAAGCAGGCGAAGTGTCGGAGCGGTACCTCAAGCAGTCGACGAGAGTCTGAGATTGCGCCTGTGCAGTGACGCCTGAGGCTTATGAGCTGACAGTCACGACGGCAGCCTGGAAGTGCTGGGCGATTAGAGTGGTCTGTGGCGTGGTGCGCTTTTCCCACACCAAGACGAGTCTGTCATGGCTAGGAGCGTGGCGCTGGAGGTCATCGGTCTGCGCACGAGAACTCCTGTTGATCAGCGTTGGAACTGTTATCTCGTGCATGCGGCTGAGCTTGGGATATGCCTCTCAAACCACATGTCACGGACGATGATTGTTCGCTGTCGTTGGTACTGATCGTTCACTGGTCTTCATCGCCATCCCTCATGAATCATTACCCTAGAGGGTTTACAATCGGGCTGAGACATATCATACCTTTTCCATTATTGGACGACAGGACACAACCTTCCCAGCCGTCTTGGGGCCAAGACCTGTCGTGGCCTTGAGTAGCTGCATGTATACGCACCGTGGGGCGTAAGGCTGCGGATCCCCGAAATGAGCAACGGATCTTGGTCGCCAGTAAGGCCTTCTTCTTTGGTTGAGGAATGCGGATTCTTTGTTGCGCACGTGGCTGAATATGCCGTGCTACCTCTTGACACCGAACGTTTTCGTGGGGTCCATGGCATTGGGTCATCCGCGCCATCTATTTCCGGAGCTGTCAAGGATTGTCTAAGACGAAGCCTAGATTTGCGTTGGTGTCTAGACTGCAAAGACTCAAATGTCAGCGGTCGTGTTTCAGCCTCATGAAGGTCGATGTGGATAATGAAGCATCTACATCCGCTCTGCTTAGACATATTGCAGCAAGCTTTCGTTCGGCATTCTGCTCATCCAGTATGTTAGCAAGGCTGCAATTCAAGTTCGTCAGCTATCAGTCGCTCTTTGCCTTGTGCGTCCTTCTTCTCATATACCAGATCTACACCATTCGCCCCGCCCACGATGACATCGCCCTGCCCATCCAGGAAGCCGTCCAAGCACCCAAGTATGAAGGCATACCGAGGGTAATATGGTACAAGCTGGGTCCTCGTGGCCTCTCGGAAGAAGCTCGAAACTGGACTGATAGCTGCATCACGTCCAACCCAGAGTACGAAGCGCACTTCATGACGGACGAAAGTAGCGACGAATATGTTCGAACCGCGTTTGCATCGAGGCCAGATATCGTCAACAACTACCTTGCGCTTCCAGTACCTATATGGAAGGCCGATCTGCTTCGATACTTGTTACTCTGGGATCAAGGTGGCATCTGGTTCGATCTCGACGTCTCCTGTGAGAACATACCCATCGATGACTGGATTCCACCGGAGTACAAAGCGAACACAAGTCTGGTTGTGGGTTGGGAGTTCGACCATGGCTGGCCGGACAATTACTTGCACCAGATGGAGATATGGGCCATCATGGCAAAGCCCCGGTCACCGCATCTGATGCAGGCGATAGATGACGTTTTGGAAGAGCTGGCTAAGAAGACCGCTGAACATGGCGTAGCCGTCGAAGACACTACCATGGAGATGATGGGAGATGTGGTCGACTTCACAGGCCCAAGGCGTTTGACGTATGCGGTATACAAGAGTCTGGGCGCCATGGTGAACCGCAATCTGGCAGGAAGTGACGTGGAGAAGCTTCTACAGCCTAAGCTCGTCGCAGATGTGCTGTTCATGCCCGGTCGCTCTTTTGCACCGATGACG